CAGTCAATTGCCCCACCCGCCGGCCTTTCGAAGTTGAAGTGACATCGCCAAGCTGACTGACTGACTGACAGCCAACCCACAACTCCTGCTCCTCATCAACGGAACTGGTCTGTGGTGGGACAAATGTTGCGTGCCAGGACAGCGTTTCCCTTCTCCTTAGGCCCCTCCACTCAGCTGCGATTTCGTCAAACAAACGTCGAGTGGCCTGAATGGATCACGCACACAACAGCCATGCATGTCATTCATTCTCAGCTGGACGAAGTGCCTCCGCAGGACTCAAGTGCGCAGCACACTGAGATAAATCGTACGCAGGATACTCGCACAAACATGTATTAGGAATCATGTCAATTAGCATCACTTAGATAATTATTGTGTTATCCCCGTAGGAAAAAAAAACAATTTCAAAGTTTTAATTCATATCATACATTCCAAAATAAATGAAACCAAATCATCAAATTATCACAATACTAATTGAATACAATCAGCTAATTGAATAGAGCAGCTAGTAATTTATGTAGATTTCATTTTACACAATTTTGGCGCGTGAAAGAAGATGGCGAACGTCCTGGCCAAGAAGCTATAGAAGCTGGATGCTGTGTTAGCGCTTAGGCTGTCAGTCAGCATGTCAGTTGTGCGGCATTTCATTGGTTTTGGCTTCTACACGATGGCCTCGGCCCCAAAGTTGCGGACAATTGACAGCAGGGCAGGTCCTTTCCAGAAAGTGTCCTTTGTCTCTCTTTAATTCTGTCCCCCAGAACTTGTCTTAAAGTCAGCTACTAGCCCGGTTTTTGCCCATTAGCTGGCCTTCAGTTGCAGCTGCTGCAGTTGCAGCTATTTGTTGGCTGCTTATTAAAAACTTTTTGGGGCAGCGAAAAAATTTGATTAACTCGGGCGAAGTGCGGTGAATTCCATGGCACCACTATACTCTAGCTGAAACTTATTTTGCGCCAGTCATGTGAGAGTAAGGGTCATGGGATTTTAATTATTTGTAATCATTTGTTGAGCATGTTTCGCTTATATTAAAACTAGTTTTAGATGATTATTTCAACGTGATTATATATATTTTTTTCTACAATATGCTCAGTTAATGATAAATGAAACTAGCCCTTATCAGTACGTTGTTTGAAGGGCATATCGACTTTGCCCCAGTGCCATTCGTTTGGCCTAACTTTTTTTATGAAAAACTTTGCAAAATATTTCCAGTTAGTGCTCGGAATTCGCCCTCAACTGTCGTACTCGCACTGAAATTACAATGCATTCGAAGTGCCTTTGGCGGAGGGGAAAAGAAGTGAAGGGAAGAGCATTGGGTTTCGGATGGTAGTTGGAGTACTTGTCCCCTAAACTGGCGCACTTTGCATAAATTTCAACTTGAAGCATTGCACTTACTTGACACATTTCGTTTACCCAGACGGAGCCACCCAACCATGCCTAACCTTTCGACCCGCTCACCTCATTCAACTTTGTTGTTGTTCATTTGGGATGAAAAAAAAAGAATAAGAATGAAGAAAGTTTTGTCTTTTGGTCTTTGGCTCTAGCAACAATTTAGCGTTAAAAGCTCAACATTGTTACACTGGTTTTTCACTTTTCACTAAGTACCGGGTTTGTGTTACCCATAAAAAAGGTGAGCTGCGGGTGGCATGACATCCGCCCAAGTGCGTTGAGTAATCTGCTCAAGTTTTGCCGGCGTCTTTTGTGCAACGTGCGAAGTTTGTCACTCCGTCAGTGAAATGGCAAAGGGAACACAGCAACACTTTGTCCATGTTCAGTCCAAACCCCGCCCCCATCCCCATCTCCATCTCCAGCTCCAGCTCCACTCACTCACCTTTCGTAATCCACTTTCCTGTAGAGACATCAGCATACACCTGGCGATGGCGATGGCGAGGACGAAGGACCTAAGGATGCGCTGGGGGCGGGCAGTTGTCGTGTCAACACAAGTTTTGCATTTGGCGATGTGTTTTTCCTCGGTATGTGCCTTTCTTTTTTTCTATATTTTTTTGCACCCTGCAAGTTGTTAAATGAGTTTTCATAGTTTTTCGTGGGTGGTAAATGCACACCCTTTCGCTGTCTCTGTTTGCGGAAAATTAATATTTTCCCTTAGCCCATTTCACTCTTTATAAAGTTCACCATTGCCACTGGGGTGCATTTGCTTAGCGTCAAAGTTTTCTGTTATAGCGGATTTTTATTAAAACCCCGGGAAGAAGTAACATTTTCTGAGCGAAAGTTTTCAAACAAAATGGAATTTATACTTACCAGAGGGACTCTCAATTTATTAGAAGGAGAATATCTTAGTAACATGTGTTGACTATAGTATACGTGTGGGAATGGAGAACAAGTTAAATTATTTCCCTAAATCAATTTATAAGAGAGCGCTAAAAAGATAGATAGAGAGATAAATTCATTTCATGAAACTACGATTTGTTTTGTTTTCTGCAAGGGATCAACCGATAAGTAAGGCAATTAATCAACACATTTATACACTTTAATCAAGCTAATAGCCACCACCGGAACAACATGGGCAATAATTAATCAGTGGAAATATAATAACCGTCATTAAACTAAACAAACACACATTGTGCCATTCAGAGTTCGCTGTTCGCATCAATTTCAATATGCAACCAGGTACATAACACTTAACCCATGATACCCCCACCCTCCACCTGAATACATTTCCAATTAACTGGGGAGCTGCCACTTTGCCCAACTTCCGGTGGCCGGGTGCGCAGTTTGGTAAATAACAATGCCCGTGCAAATGTTTAATGATATGAAATGAATGCGTAAATATCCGAGGCTTCTTTGCCATTAAAGTGAATAGTAAATGGGATACAATTTCCCGGTTGAAATCAACGGGAATTTTCACAGCTGCGATGGGCGCCGGCAGGTGAAAATGTAAATGATATGCCATGATACCGGCCTCAAGCCGAGAGGAATAAATTGACTCTTTGACTATTCAACGTATCTTTCGATTCTGTCAGTTTGCCTGTGGAGTTTTGCCACATTTCTATTTGTTCAAAAGTCAATTTAAGACCCAAAAATTGATGCCATTGTCGGTATTCATTTGCATGCCAGTCGCACAACTTGAAGAGCTGGAGAAATGCGGATAAATTCACAAATTATGTTGTTCCTCGGGATTTTTACGCTCCTTACCACACACACACACACACACACACACACACACACACACACACTTAACGCCCATTTGCTACTCCTAACTCAACCATAAATACAATATTCCCTAAACTTTTCGGGAAAACAACAACAGATTTGATTTTACTCAGTTTCGGTTTCGTTGCGAGGCCGAAAATTTTTATTGTCCAGCAATAAAGGCTGGGAAAAGCTGGGGCAAAAGCGACGGAATACGCATGAAATTTGATTTGCTTCATTGAATTGATTTCATTTCATTTGTTTTGATTTGTTCCCCCCGAAAAACGCAAGAACGCAAATTGGAAACCGGACTCCGGATAACAAAAACTGGCACCATCTGAATTGGTGAATTCGAGTACCGAAATGAATACATTTCGGTTCAGTTCGAGGCGTGTCTGTGGGGCAGGCATTTGGATTTGGATTCAGATTCTGTTTCTGATTCTGATTCTGATGCGGATTCGTATTCGTATTCGGATGAGGGGGCGTGGCATTGTGGTTTATGCTGATACTGTTGACTGACATCGGGGTTCTGGGCCTGACTTTTAGTAGTAGTTTATTTAGTTGTTGGACCGATCAACACTTGCCAGATTGCTTTGGCATTAAAGTGTCAGCAAATATTTCGGATTCTGGTTGGCTGCAGAGCGGAATGTTGGGTCTGGTATCTGGCAGCTGAATGTCCGGAATGGGGAAATGGTCCTGTTCCGGTGATGGTTTGGCCACATGCGGCTTAATGCCCCCTAAAAGCTTTGACTTCGGTCTGCAGTGAGAAATTCGCAACAGCTGAATCAAAATGTATAAATATCAGAATTATCCGAATTTAATATAAACTTGAAAATCAAACTTGAACCAAGATATTAGACCTAAGGCACTGAAATAGAACTGGAATCATTATAGACAATTAAATTCTATCTGTACAATATTACGGATTTTTCTTGCAGTGTAACAATAGAGTAGGCTTGAGAAAATCCGACGGTAAGAAAGACAAAACCTGACTCTCAATTGAACCCTTTTAGTAAGCTTGTCAACGACGGATGACGGAGCTCTTAAAACGTATCCGAACTATAAATTGGGTAGTTATGTGGGCTCAGTTTCCTATCCTAGATACATTGTATTGAGTCAGATCATAAACCGAACTGGCGATGGCTGCCATCGATTGCTACTTGATGGCTGATAACTCTTGTCTCAAGTACCAATCGCTTGTTTTCTCTGAGGCATTCGTGTTCAAATGGACGCCACAAATAACCAAAAAGCCGCATCGTAACTTTAACCGCTCCCCGATGAGCTTTTTACGGATGGAAACCTTTGGCTTTCCCGGCAACTTTTACGATATCCCAACTGATGACCCAATTAATACGTTGACAAGCAACATTTATTTATTGCCATTTCTGCTCATGTAAGTAAACTTCTGCAAAGCGACCGGAACTCGAAAAACTTTAAACTTAATGTTCTTGGCTCATCCTTTGTCAATTCCCCAAAGAAAATACCGAAACTAATCATTATTGAAAACGTGTGGTGAAAACTTTAGTAATGCGCCCCATTGTGTCGCACCTTTTTTTCACAGTCACTGCCACCAAAAAAAAAAAAAACAGGAAAGCACAATCTGAAAAAAGACCCAAAAGTTATAACAAAATAGCTTTGGTCAAATTGTTTTACAAGCCAATTGGGTTTCGTGTCCCTTTTTGGCTCTGTCATTCTGCCTTTTTGGAGTTCTGTGCTCCCAAACGCTTCGATTGCCATTGCAAAATTCCCTAAGGCGTTTGGCCACGCTTTTCACTCGAAGAATGGGTTCATGCTGCTGATGAACTTTAAAAATAAAGTCAGTGTTGGTTCTTTGATCGTTTGTTAGCTAATTTAGCAAAATAAAATGTATTGAACATGGTCGACATTAATTAGAAAATATAGCTTTACCCTGCTCATTATACTCCCACTCCGCCGCAGGTCCCTTAATATCTTGATGTGTCTGCTGCTCGTGCTCCTGCAGCATTTGTTGCTGCTGCTGCCCGGAAGTGGCAGCGATATCGTTCTCGTAGGACCTTCGATCCCTTACAGCCTTGTTTCTGGCTTCGCTGGCGGCACAGGCGGCCCTGTAGGCCGCCTTCTTCGTGTTGGTGTAGTCCAGTTTGGCCGAGCGGAGCTGCTGCATCAGCATCTCTGTTCGCTGGCGAGCGGTGTCCACCAGCTGGTTCTTTTCGCACAACTCCTGCTGGGCACCGGATGCAGCTGCCTCGGCATTGTTCAGTGCTTCCTCGGCGACTTTCACCGAACCTCGAAGGGAATTCAACAGCGTTTGACATTGTTTCGCTGTGCAAACAGCGGCATTGACATTTGACTGCAATTTCCATTTCCCATATAATCGAACTTATTAACATGCAATTGGTATTACAGGGGCTTAGCATACCTGTGAGCTAACCAGTGAGTAGGTCTCCTCCTGCACGATAATCTCAGCCTCTTGCACCTCGTCCTGCAGCTGCTCCATAATCTGTTGCTTCCCCGCCAGCGCCGCCTCGGCGGCTTTGGCCGCAGCAATGGCCTTCTCGGCCAGCTGGTGTTTCACCTGGCGGGCGGCAGCCAGGGCCGCAGGTGCCTGGGTGTCCGACGCCTTCTTGGCCTCCTGGGCGGCCTTTTGGGCAATGTTCGAGGCGGTCTGCTTGGAGTTGCTGTTGTGCATCATGCTCATGGCAAGGTCCTCGGGATGCTGTGACTGCTGCTGGTGTTGTGGGCAATTTGGGGAACGTGGGTAGCAGGCTGCAGGGCTGGACGAGATCAGGAGATAGAGGAGGATGTGGCACAGGATCCGTGGCAAGGCAATGCGCATAATTATGTGAACCTTCAAAGTTGCTGCCAAGTTTGCCTTTTCAACTAAGGCTCGAACATTTTTACATTTCAAGTAGTTCCGCTAAGCCAACGTGGTAAGCGTTCTAGGGAATAAAATGTTAAACAAAGTTTTTTTTTGTTAGAAAAACTCTGGGTAACAGGGCCGCATAACTTTTCCGCGCAATTTAACTTAACGTTCACGAGCTTCTCATTTTTATTTTCTTTTGTACCTTATTCACTTAGGTTATTTTTTTTCTCAGCCGTCGCTTTTCCTTGACATGAAAAGTAGACTAGCAATGTATGTGGCAAAAATTTTTATACCCGTTACTCGTAGAGTAAAAGGGTGTACTAGATACGTTTAAAAGTATGTAACAGGAAAGCGCATTCAAATTAATAAATTCATTTTTTTATTTATTGTACTTTTTTGATGTGATGATGTTGAAGAAATTCAAAAAATTAAGAAATGCCTGAAGTTCTAAACACAATAACTCATCTTTATCGGATTTTGAAGTGGCATACCTCTAAATGTTTCTGGCGCAATTCTCTAAAAAACTGCATTCAAATTTATAAATTAATTTTTTTTTTAATTTTTTGTACTTTTTTGATGTTATGATGTTGTAGAAATTCGAAAATATTCCAAACTGTCTAAGGCTGAAATTCTAAAGTCCATAACTCAACGTATCTTAATCGGAATTTGAAGTGACATACCTTTAAATGTTTCTGACGCAATTCTCTTAAACCAAAGACACTAGAATAATAAGATGCGTAACGCCATACGATTTTTTTGCACACGATTTTTTCGGGCTGGCTCCAGACTCTCTCGAATTTTTGTTCAAGAGCCAGAGAGAGAGAGCGCTCTAGAGCCAGCGGCTCTCTTGTACGCATCAGTAATTGTGATCTTGCAAATAATCACACTTAAGAACACATACACTACACTCAGTGCTCGACCGATAAGAGAGATTACTTGAAATATTTTGCGACTCTGAATTGGAAGACATACATACATACATACATACATACATACATACATACATACATACATACATACATACATACATACATACATACATACATACATACATACATACATACATACATACATACATACATACATACATACATACATACATACGTACATACATACATACATACATACATACATACATACATACATACATACATACATACATACATACATACATACATACATACATACATACATACATACATACATACATACATACATACATACATACATACATACATACATACATACATACATACATATGTACATACATAAATACACATACACTACACACACTGCTCTACCGGTCGAGATTACTTGAAATATTTTCTGACTAGAAGACATGCCATTACAGTCTTCACTAGAACTAGTTGGGAATTATAGGGCTACAAGAAAATATGTTTCCTAAACAAATATTAAACCAATGTATGGCAGTTAAGCATCTTATTATTCGAGTGTCTTTGCTTAAACTCTGCATGTTCAAAGGCTGAAGTTCTAAACTTCAAACTCAACTTATCTTTATGGGATTTTTAAGTAGAATACCTCTAAATATTTCTGCCGCAATTTACTTAAAATCTGCATTCAAATTTAGACATTTTTTTTTTAAATTTTTTTGATGTTATGATGTTGTAGAAATTCAACAAGAAATTAAAAAATGTCCCAAGGCTGAAGTTCTAAACTCCATAACACAACGTATTCTGGATGTGATGATGTTGAAGAACTTCAAAAAAATTAAGAAATTTCCCAAGGCTGAAGTTCTAAAGTCCATAGCTCAACTTATCTTAATCGGATTTTGAAGTGGCATACCTCTAAATGTTTCTGGAGCAATTCTCTAAAAAACTGCATTCAAATTTGGAAATTTATTTTTTTTAATATTTTTGTCATTTTTCTGATGTTATGATGTTGTACAAATTCAAAAGTGCACCAAGGCTGAAGTTCTAAAGTCCATAACTCGACTTATCTTAATCGGATTTTAAAGTGGCATACCTCTAAATGTTTCTGGAGCAATTCTCTAAAAATCTGCATTCAAATTTGGAAATTTATTTTTTTTTAATATTTTTGTCATTTTTCTGATGTTATGGTATTGTACAAATTCAAAATAATTAAAAAGTGTCCCAAGACTGAAGTTCCAAAGTCCATAACTCAACTTATCTTAATCGGATTTTGAAGTGGCATACCTCTAAATGTTTCTGGAGCAATTCTCTAAAAATCTGCATTCAAATTTGGAAATTTATTTTTTTTTAATATTTTTGTCATTTTTCTGATGTTATGATGTTGTACAAATTCAAAATAATTAAAAAGTGTGCCAAGACTGAAGTTCCAAAGTCCATAACTCAACTTATCTTAATCGGATTTTGAAGTGGCATACCTCTAAATGTTTCTGGAGCAATTCTCTAAAAATCTGCATTCAAATTTGGAAATTTTTTTTTTTTTTAATATTTTTGTCATTTTTCTGATGTTATGATGTTGTACAAATTCAAAAGTGCCCCAAGGCTGAAGTTCTAAAGTCCATAACTCGACTTATCTTAATCGGATTTTAAAGTGGCATACCTCTAAATGTTTCTGGAGCAATTCTCTAAAAATCTGCATTCAATTTGGGAAATTTATTTTTTTTTAATATTTTTGTCATTTTTCTGATGTTATGATGTTGTACAAATTCAAAATAATTAAAAAGTGTGCCAAGACTGAAGTTCCAAAGTCCATAACTCAACTTATCTTAATCGGATTTTGAAGTGGCATACCTCTAAATGTTTCTGGAGCAATTCTCTAAAAATCTGCATTCAAATTTGGAAATTTATTTTTTTTTAATATTTTTGTCATTTTTCTGATGTTATGATGTTGTACAAATTCAAAAGTGTCCCAAGGCTGAAGTTTTAAAGTCCATAACTCGACTTATCTTGATTGGATTTTGAAGTGGCATACCTCTAAATGTTTCTGGAGCAATTCTCTAAAAATCTGCATTCAAATTTGGAAATATATTTTTTTTTAATATTTTTGTCATTTTTCTGATGTTATGATGTTGTACAAATTCAAAAGTGTCCCAAGGCTGAAGTTCTAAAGTCCATAACTCGACTTATCTTGATTGGATTTTGAAGTGGCATACCTCTAAATGTTTCTGGAGAAATTCTCTAAAAATCTGCATTCAAATTTGGAAATTTATTTTTTTTTAATATTTTTGTCATTTTTCTGATGTTATGATGTTGTACAAATTCAAAAGTGCCCCAAGGCTGAAGTTCTAAAGTCCATAACTCGACTTATCTTAATCGGATTTTAAAGTGGCATACCTCAAAATGTTTCTGGAGCAATTCTCTAAAAATCTGCATTCAAATTTGGAAATTTAATTTTTTTTAATATTTTTGTCATTTTTCTGATGTTATGATATTGTACAAATTCAAAATAATTAAAAAGTGTCCCAAGACTGAAGTTCCAAAGTCCATAACTCAACTTATCTTAATCGGATTTTGAAGTGGCATACCTCTAAATGTTTCTGGAGCAATTCTCTAAAAATCTGCATTTAAATTTGGAAATTTATTTTATTTTTAATATTTTTGTCATTTTTCTGATGTTATGATGTACAAATTCAAAAGTGCCCCAAGGCTGAAGTTCTAAAGTCCATAACTCGACTTATCTTAATCGGATTTTAAAGTGGCATACCTCTAAATGTTTCTGGAGCAATTTTCTAAAAATCTGCATTCAAATTTGGAAATTTATTTTTTTTTAATATTTTTGTCATTTTTCTGATGTTATGATGTTGTACAAATTCAAAAGTGCCCCAAGGCTGAAGTTCTAAAGTCCATAACTCGACTTATCTTAATCGGATTTTAAAGTGGCATACCTCAAAATGTTTCTGGAGCAATTCTCTAAAAATCTGCATTCAAATTTGGAAATTTAATTTTTTTTAATATTTTTGTCATTTTTCTGATGTTATGATATTGTACAAATTCAAAATAATTAAAAAGTGTCCCAAGACTGAAGTTCCAAAGTCCATAACTCAACTTATCTTCATCGGATTTTGAAGTGGCATACCTCTAAATGTTTCTGGAGCAATTCTCTAAAAATCTGCATTCAAATTTGGAAATTTATTTTATTTTTAATATTTTTGTCATTTTTCTGATGTTATGATGTTGTACAAATTCAAAAGTGCCCCAAGGCTGAAGTTCTAAAGTCCATAACTCGACTTATCTTAATCGGATTTTAAAGTGGCATACCTCTAAATGTTTCTGGAGCAATTTTCTAAAAATCTGCATTCAAAATTGGAAATTTATTTTTTTTTAATATTTTTGTCATTTTTCTGATGTTATGATGTTGTACAAATTCAAAAGTGCCCCAAGGCTGAAGTTCTAAAGTCCATAACTCGACTTATCTTAATCGGATTTTAAAGTGGCATACCTCTAAATGTTTCTGGAGCAATTCTCTAAAAATCTGCATTCAAATTTGGAAATTTATTTTTTTTTAATATTTTTGTCATTTTTCTGATGTTATGATATTGTACAAATTCAAAATAATTAAAAAGTGTCCCAAGGCTGAAGTTTTAAAGTCCATAACTCGACTTATCTTGATTGGATTTTGAAGTGGCATACCTCTAAATGTTTCTGGAGCAATTCTCTAAAAATCTGCATTCAAATTTGGAAATTTATTTTTTTTTAATATTTTTGTCATTTTTCTGATGTTATGATGTTGTACAAATTCAAAAGTGTCCCAAGGCTGAAGTTCTAAAGTCCATAACTCGACTTATCTTGATTGGATTTTGAAGTGGCATACCTCTAAATGTTTCTGGAGCAATTCTCTAAAAATCTGCATTCAAATTTGGAAATATATTTTTTTTTAATATTTTTGTCATTTTTCTGATGTTATGATGTTGTACAAATTCAAAAGTGTCCCAAGGCTGAAGTTCTAAAGTCCATAACTCGACTTATCTTGATTGGATTTTGAAGTGGCATACCTCTAAATGTTTCTGGAGCAATTCTCTAAAAATC